AAAAGGAGTAAAAAACCTGTGGCATCTTTTGCGAATGCTCTCTATTTCCTTCTTATAGCTTGCGTTGTTGATGATGGCGTGAAACGCCTGGATTGGGTCCACCAGCTGACCCCACACTTTGGACCCCAGCTTATCCAAGATCACCATGAAACAGTGGAGGATGGGCCAAAACGGGTCATTGATTTCACCTGGAACGACACAATACAAACGTAATGATCCCCATTTCTTTGTTAAACATCTGCCGCGTGTTCCTTCTAGGAGCTGAAGGTGGCACACCCAGTGTTGCCACCCTGTACGGCAGGCTGGGCTGAACCAGGGAGGTTCAACATCGAGGGTGGAGCAGAACCTAACTCTACGGTGCAAGTTCACCACCTGAGCCACACATTACCAACAACTTTTTGGATGACGTTTCTCTACATCTACCTTAAAAACTCAACGGAAAGCTAAAAATGCCAAACTCTTGGCCAACAACTCTACAAAGCTGATGCCGCCGCATTGTTCTACCCGTTATTAAATAAACCACTCAGCACAGAGGAATAACCCCAGCCTCTAACTCATTTCCTCACTGCCTCCAAAGTTCCTTAATCGATTACCATCTGTTTGTTTCTTCATGATGTTCAGGATGGACTGCATGAAATTTTGCTTGTCTGGTCCAAGCAGCAAAGAATCCATTGCTTGTTCTTCTAGCACCGAGAGCAGCATACAGAGGCCTGCATGAAAAACATCCAAAATCATAGTGAACTTGCAATTTTATTCACCATTTGGCATTCCAGAAGCTTCTTCTTTAAAATCAAACTCAAGATGGGGAGCAATAGAAAGAGCTTGACATCCACTCAAAAGATCAACTGATTGTGACGGACAAAAGGGTTCTATTTCCCTCCTCTCCAATGAACGAAAACAACTGATCCATTAATCTTTGCAAAGCTTCAGGAAGAAGCTAGTTCCCCCTTAGGAATAGGCTAGACCCAAATTGTCATAAACTTCCCATTCTCTACTTACCAAGCCAATAGTTTTTGTAATTGGTGGTATCATACAGATGCAAAGGCAACAGGACAAGCTTGGTTTTCTCAACCCCTGATGAGCTATAGATATCTGGATTTTCAAAGAGACCCAGTTCTATGACTTTGAACAAACACATCAGCACTTCTTGGATATCGTAATAATCGTCTCTGTCTACTTTTCCCAGGTTTTGAGCTGTCAGGATGGCCCATCGGCGGATCTATGGATGTGAAACACCACTGCATATTACTCTTACAAGGATTCATTGACTGGCTGCATATCCGCAGAATGGTACACCCAAATTCTAGCCTACTGCAAGCCAGGGTCAATGTGTGTTGGGGCCTCTAGACTGCCCACTTCCTTTCTGGCTCTTTCTACAAGTGCAACCAGTGAAAGTAAGCCCCTCTTTAAAAGTTTACTGTAATGCCGAAATCTTGGAATCTAGGTCTGTTACTCCAAGGAAGCCAGGCTTACAAACCAAGATTTGCCATTGGCTTAGGAATCCCAATTGGTTCAGGGACAAAAGTCAACCTCCTAGGTTCAAGTATCATTGTGAGTTTTCCAATTCTGGAAAGGTTAAGGAAGAGCTGAGCGGGAATGTGGCAGTTGGGTGTCCTAGCAGATAGTTGGTTTGCAATAAGCCAGGATGAAGAGGACTCTTGCGGTAACTTTCCAGAGTGAATGCTGCCCGAGTTAAAATACTAATGCACACTGTAATCAAGACAGAAAATTATTGAAAATGAACACAGGAAGGAAAGAGAAACAGAGGAGTGTAATGATCTATCCCAAGGAATATTAATCTGAAGGCCATGCCAACTGAAAACCTTCTTCTCTTTCCACCCATTTCTTTTTCCAGAAGAAACTTGTTTCTTCTCTGAGATAGCTTATTGATAATTCCTCAACAGAACTGTAGGAGACAACCTTGCCCAACGTATCTGCAGGGACAGCCACAACCAGAGAGAAATGAAAGACGTCTTTCCCCCTCTGACATCATCCCATGTTGGACTAGCCATCCTGCTCCAGATGACAAGGTTGACCATGGGTGACGGCAACAGCTGTGCAACACAATCCCAGGGACCCAAGGAGCAGCATGAACTGATACAGATTGGTGAAAAGGAAAGCTCAAGGTTCAGATGACAACACCATCTGTGGGCAATATGAGATTATTTTGAAGTATTGAAGAGAGGAATTGAGAGGGAAAACTTGGGGAGGAGCAGAGGCAACTCCCCCACTCCTCAACCCTTTGGAGAAAGGGAGGATAAAAGAAATGTAAATAGATTTAAAATCTGCACATACACAGAAGCTTAACCGAGAACTATATTCAAAGGAAGTTTCTTCTCTTAGAAAGAAGAGCAATGGGCCAGGACACTGGGTGGGCCCATATTTGGGGAAGCCATTATGTGGATTGTGAATCACCTTGAGCATGATGTGATTTTATTTCTTCCTGGTTATCTTCTGCCTAGAGTCACATAGCAAGTGGGCAACAAAATGAAGAAATGAATGAGTGACTAAATACATAAGATCAGGAAGGAAGATACTTAAACCACACTGAGGTTTTTCTGGGTACCAGGCCCACAGCCTGATCGACAAGAGCTCGCTGCACGAGTACAAAGAGAGATGGCGAACTCCAGCAAAGCAAAAGGAAATAACCAGAGCTACTCACCGTTTCGTTGGGGTGCACCATGAGCAAATAGATACCAGGATGTTTGCCAACTACTTGATAGGAGTAGTTCATTTCCTCCATTTTACAAAGGGCATCAACACAGAGCTCACCTGCAAGTTGGGGAGGAAACCACAAGGTCAAGGAGACCTTCCACAAAGCCATGAGAAGTTATGCATCTTTCGGAGGTCGAAGTAACACTCAAAAAAACCCAAAACCTATCTATTTCTATTGCATAAACCAGTGTTGTCCAAACTTGGCCACTTTAAGATGAGTGGACTTCGACTCCCAGAATTCCCCAGCCAGCCACATGCTGGCTGGGGAATTCTGAGAGTCAAAGTCCACTCATCTTAAAGTGGCCAAGTTTGGACAACACTGGCATAAACCATTGCTTCTATTCCTCTACAACATCCAAGGCCAAAGCTCACTTTTTTAAAACACAGGAAGCTCCTTTTACACCCCGCAAGCAAAGATTTTTTTTCAAAGTTTGCATTGCAATTGATAGGACAGCCCTAAGCAGGAAAAAAAACACCGTACAGCTAAATGGAGAAGGAATATTATCTGCCTTTTCACTCTTGCTGTCTGCTTGACTGAAGGAAGTCGCATTAAGCTATTCAGAGACTTGCATGCTCTATTTTTATGCCAACTGTGAAGCAACCCAAGCTGAACTCATCCAGAAAGGCAGGAATGACTAGAATGCTGGAGGAATGTTCTGGAGGAGGAATGTTGAAAAGATTAAATAAGACCACAGAGATAAGAGTAGAAGCTGGCAAAGTAGGAACCCACAGCACCCAGGGGCAGACATCAATCTTCAAGGCTGGGGAAAGAAAGACCATGAATCCATGGATTTGGAAGACTAAGAAGAAAATTCTTAGACAACTATATTCCTATGTTTCTAACCCTTTTGCCTAGATGGAACAGGGGTCTGGAGGGCAGTTTGACAACAGATATAAGCTGTCAAGATATCAATTAGACAGGTTCGAGGATGGAGACAAATAATGTTCAGGAAATGATACGCAGAATCTTTAGACCCTAAAGTGCTTTGGAAAAAAAATATATGAAGATTTGCCATTCCCTGGTTTCATTCCACAAGGCTGCATTGTAATAGGTTTTCAGGAACTGCTTTGCCTGCCTGTGCTGGATATCAACTAAATAACGAAGGAGAAAAGTTAACTAATAAAACAGTTTGGCCTAACAAAAACAGCTTCAGAGAGGCTTCGATGTTTAGCCTAATGCTTGAGGATATAAAACACAAATACCTTACTAAGGGGATGAAACTGGGCCTATGTGCCGGAGAAGAGGAGGTCGAACCTTGACTGTTACTCAAGGCTTGCTGACTAAACAAATCAAAAGCTAAAAATGCTAGTTTGCTACAGATAGGGGTTCAGGTGGGCTCTGTCACGAAGGGGTCATACCGTCATCCTTTTTCCTATCAACAAGGAAAAAGCTTTGTCTCCATGCTCTCAGTGGACAGAATCTTGCATTCTGTCCCCTGCACAGCTCAATTAACTTGGCTCAAACAGATTGTGCGGTCTCCACTCATCAGTGGGGTCACAGGGAGGTTCTCCCTTTCAAAACTCACTGAGACGTTCATGAAGTAGCAGGTAGGGATACTTTAGAACTTCTAGCAGCGGCACCCGGAGACGTTTCTCAAAATTAGGACCGGTGTAACAGGAGGTCAACGGGGTAACTCTGTCTTCTTCCACCAAGTAGAGGTCATCTTCATCACCCTCTTTCATGGATTTCTCAAAGTGGTTAGTGAGACGGGTAACTTCCCTCTCCCACAGAATCTGCAGTTGAAAATAAAAAGAATTCTAGAAGAGCACACTTTTTCCCAAAAGAAGAAAACAATTGATGAATTATGGATTTGAAGACTAAGAAAGATGGGGATTAAATGAGGGGGTGAAGGGATTTGTAAAATACTTAAGAGGGAGGAGGGACAATAAGAATGTAATCATCTCTTGGAAAAAAAGGGGGGAAGTCATCTATATACTTCTTAACTTTAGCTTTTCTTTCCTTTTTTTTCCCTTTGGGTTTGCCTTTTATTATATGAAAATTCTCAATAAATTAAAAAAAAACAGAAGAGCACCCTGGCCAACTTGGCCATAGTTAAAACCAGGTTAACCTTCTACTGGGAAACTGGAATAATCTCTCAAGATCAAAGTAAGCTACAACATTTTTAAAAAATACGAAGCAGTTCATGACCATGGTTTAGCATTTGATGGGAATGTGTTGGACCACATTGTGTGGCCTGATGCCTTCGCAGAAAGCATTGTCTGCTCCAGCCTTGCAGGTAAAAGGGAAAATTAACCAAAGAATTAGCTTGGCCTAGCAAAATGGCTTTGGATAAACGCAATGCTTTCATTCTTAAAAAAAAAAAAAAGCTTAAGAGCACAAAATCCAAGTGTGAAACCCTAGGGAACCCCTGCTGAAACTAGGAAGTTGACCGCCAAATATTACTCAAAGCTTGCTAAATAAATGGAGTCAAGGGTGAGAATAAAAAGTTGCTAGGAAAGTGAGTTCGGTTGTAAACGAGATCACTATATAACTTTTCGCCTTGCCCCCGTTAGCGGGCAGAACTCTGTATTCTGTCCCCTGCGGAGTTTCAACAAATTGAGCTCAAGCAGATTGTGTCATCTCCACTCGTACGTCGGATCACGGTGTTTGTTTTAGGACCCATGGTCACCTCTCAGTTGTCTTACTTCCCCGTTAATCAAAAATCAAACCGAAAACCACCTACGGTTTTGTGCCCCATTTTTGGCAATTGGTGGAAATGGCTGGATAATAACAATTGTGAGGGTAAAGATGCATATACTCCGTGTGAAAAGTGAACAGGCTGACACTTTCACAGCCACAGTGAGCAGAACAGGCCCAATCCACACGCTCACATATGGAAGAGGGAAGCAGAACACACAGAGAATGTGTAAGCTAAAGGCTATCCAACACAAAGCCTTTGCAGAAAAGTGGCTTAAATATGAACTAAAGCAAAAGCCACACTATTTCCAGGTCCGGTAGCCAGAATTGAAGCATTATATATTTCTCTCCCTATAACGCTCAACTTCACATCATCTTGCTAAATAAGTACAATTATTATTTATTATCTTCTGCAATACCATTTGCTACATATCTGTCAGGCCTAGCCCAAGGAACTCCAAGAGACCATG